GGAAGTCTCATGACAGCTTACTTCTTTCCCACTTGGTCCCTGGCTCATTCTGCTGGATGCCTGCCTCATCTTAGGAGTGCTCCTTTCCCTGGGAGGGTGCTCAAGACTCATCTGCCATCACCTAGGTGGTCAGGTCGAAACCCTCACATTCACAGCACACAGTGGCTCATTAAAAATGAAAGCATTCTCTGGCAAGTGCTCTTTGTAAGGCAGCAGGGAGGAAGAGGAGGAGAAAAATGCACAGTTGATGAAGCCAAAGGACTCTGGCCAGAGGGCCGCATTGGCAAGCAGAGTGGAGTGTCTTCAGACTTGCTACTTCCCAGCACAGAAGCGGGCTTGTAAAGATCACAGCTGTTGGGTTACACTGGAGTTCATATCACAGCTTATCAAAGAGGCTGGCTTTTCTCCCTCCTCTCCTTTTCTCCTGCATATAAGTGGGGTGGTTCACGAGTAGACAAGGCCTGGGCTTGTTCGACTGGCATTAGCATGGAGGGTGGAAAGAGGCTGGAGGAGGGCAATGAACACCAACACCTACTTTGGTCAGAGTTGGTTTAGTGGGGTGGGGCCGGGTGCTGGTGGGTGCCCTGGGCACTGGGGCAGGAGAGCCGGCTCTTGGCACAGAAAGTCAATTATCTCACTCTCTCATGCATCCTGGTTTTCTCTCCTCAAGGACCACCAGGGGAGGTGGAGACCATGGCTGAGTCAGAAGCTGGACAATAGCTCCCCTTCATCATATATCACCAGCATCATGCTGGAACCCACAAGAGCTTACTTAATCCCACTGCAGTAACAAGACAGGCACCATTAGCATCTGCGTTTCAAGCACAAAGCAGGAAAGGTTTAGAAACAGCTCATATGACACAAATAGGAGGAACTAGGTTTGAACCCAAGTCTAACTCCAAAAGCATACTCTTCCTCAGGCTCTATGGAGTGTAGGTAGGTTTGCAGCACCAGCCTCCCACAGTACCCTGCCCACATGTGTGGTCTTCTCTCCACCTGTGGGCATGATCTCAATTTGAGTCAAGAACCAGGATGGGTCTGAAGAAGGCCTGCTGAGAGCCAAGAGTTTTAGAGCCACTGGCTCCACCAACCTCAACATACATCTAAATTGCTGTATTCATCAGAAAAGGAGGCCTAGCTAGAGTTTAGGAGTCCTGTTCCTATTCAACTCTACACTGAGGTGCAGCCTGGGACAGCTCCATGGGGTGAGGAGAGGCTCCCAGGGCATGAGGGAAATCATGCATCTCCCTCAGTGCCAAGAACCCATCAGATGTTTGTCATCAAGAGCTTTGGACTCCTCTGTCCTCCTACAATTGGCAGCTGCTCCTGTGCCCTGTGCTAAACACACTGCTGCACAAATAATGGCTTTTAACTTGTTTGCCAGAAGAATCTATCTTCTTTCTTAGTCTCAAGCTTAGGAACTAAGAAAAGCAACTTAACAGCTGAAGGAAAGGGTTGAGAAACCACTTATTGTGTTCCTTGTCAGGCCTGTGGCTCCATAGAAGCAGTCTGCAGGCACCATTAACATGCCCCTCTTTAAAGCCATCAGCAGAGAAGGACATGGAATGGAGAAGCAAGATGGAAAGCTGAAGGGCCTTAGCTCCCTGTGCGACCCTGGGAGGAAACTGCACATTTTCAAGGCCTTGCCCACATCAGATGCTGGGTGCCTGGGACAGTGACCAGTGATCAGAGGCTGGTTGGCAGTAGTGGGTATGCTGACTTTGCAAGGCACCTAGGTCAGGTAGCTGTCTGCTGCATACTGATAGGTTCTGGGGCTGCTTTTGGGAGAACGCAGGCTGGACAACTGTGGCAAAGGCCTAGGAGAGACCCAATCCTTTGTGAGAGGCCCAGCCACAGGTTCCACCTATCCTGGGTTCTCTGTGCTGGTGTTCAAGGCTAAGAGACCCTAATGGCTGGGTATGAGCCAGGCCTGGTTTGGAGGCTGGACTTGATGCCCTCTGAGAACCTGGTGCAGTCCATGGGAGGTCTGAGCTCTAGAACAGTGAGCAGTTGCCCTGCTGGATACACTGAGCCTCCAGCAGGCACATTGTTTCCTCTCATTTTCCCTTTTGCAAAATGAGGATTGCCATTAGTCCAGGGTGTTCTAGAGACACTACAAAGCCAGTAAAACCTCATGGCTCTGGAATCTGTAAATGAGGGCCTGGCTGCCCATTTTACAGAACCTTGGGCTCCAAATGTGTGGGGAGGATGCCCAAGCATGTTCAGGACACCTGCAGTTCTGCTACGTGCAGTCTGGGGATGCTGGTTATCACCCTGAGCAGCCCCTCCCCATGCCTAACTGGGCACATGAAGTCGGGATGGCAAAGAAAACTCAGGATAGCTTGTCCTCCAGAGAGGAGGTCTTCTTCAAAGGCCTTTTTCTCCCCACTGACTCGAGTCAGCCAGTCAAGGAGTGCTTATCAGGAGTGTGGATGCCTCCGCAGTTTGGAAAACTAGATGAACGTAACTGTCACTTATGCGGGGACATTTCACCATTTTCCTGGTGTGTGTGGGGCCTCTCTATCACATCTAATGTCTACTTCAGTCCCTAATTGAAATCATCCAACTTCTTGAAAATAAAAACCATGTTTTTTTGGCCAATAAAGTTAAGAATCCATTTGTGTCTCTCTGTAATAGTGGTTCTCAAACAGAGTGATTTTGCAGTGTTTGGAGACTCCTATTTTTGGGTTTTGCTGGAGATCAAACTCAGAGCCTTGAGTAAGACAGGCAAGTACTTAACTACTGAGTTATACACTCAGCCCTGACACATTTTTGATTGTCTGAACTGGGTAGGGGTTGGTGCTACTGGCATCCAGTGGGTAGAGGTCATAGATGCTGCTAAACATCCTATAGTGCACCATTCACCCCACACAAAGGATGTTCTGGCTCCATGTCTAGCAAGCACAAAGCCCTGAGTTCAAACCCCAGTACTACCAACCCTCTCCCCCAAATTATCTGCTCTAAATGCCCATCGTGTTAGGGTTGAGTGATCTTGCTCTAGAAGGGCCGAGAGAAGCAGGAGGGGGTGACAGCTTCCTCATCATCACAGGGACAACCTTCTGGGGGCCCAGAACATTAGAAGTCTCTTCCTCCTGCTGTGGTCCTGCTATTCTCTCTGTCCTCACCCAGGACTCAATCCCCAGGGTACCCTCAACTCCACACTGAGCCCTTGAGCCAACATGTGTTTTCCTTCCACTCGCAGTCAAGCTTCAAGTTGTCTGTGTCCTCTCCTCCATTTCCTGGCCCCCACTCCTTCATCTCATCCTGCAGCTAAACAGGCCATTCTACCAATCCCCAGCAGACTGTCTTCGGATCTCATCTTCCCTTACCGCCTCCTTCCAGCTCCTTCTTTCCTTTGCTTTCTTCTACCTTTCTGGACCTTAACCTCCTCTTCTTGTTTTTCCCTTTACCCTCAACCTTGGGGCTCCTTGGGGCTGAACACCTTTCCCCTCACTTGGCCTCCTATTACTCTCTAAATATGAAAGTTCCATAAGGGATGAACCAGCCACAGCAGTACTTTCCACAGGGTTCAGTAAGTATTTGTTGATGGACAAGTTGTCAATGTCCAGAGTTGTGTCTTGGGTCCAGGTCTCCCTTTGGACAGTCAGGTGCACTAAACTGCGTCATCATCTTTCTTTTGATGTTCCTAAAGCAATCTGAACTCAAATATGTGACCCTCCTCAGTCCCTGCTACTCTCCCAGGGTTCCCACCTTAGGGATCTGTGTTATTTCCACCTCCTTTTCCTTGCTTTCTCATGTAGTCAGTTTCCAATCAACACTGAATCCCCTGCTGCTCCCATTCTCCAACAAGCTGCCAGTGTCTCCACAGTCTCCCAACTCATTTTCATTCATTTTGGCCCCTTCTACTCATTCTACTATAACACAGCAATCTTTCAAATCAGAAAACTGCTCATGCCCTTGTGGTAGCTTTTTACTAACCTCTGGGTAGGGTCCCCAATCTTTGGTATGGCTTGAAAGGCTAAGACTCTCACCCCTTGATCTCTGGTTTACAGCAAAAGGAGCTCTCCATGCGCTTTCAAGGCTGGGCTTCTGAGGAGTCTCCTCAGGTCCCCAACCCTTGAGACCATGTTAGTGTAGTCTGCTCCCCAAGCATCCTGTACTGCTTTAAAAGCCCCACCACTCTGAGGTCCCAAGTCTACTGGTCAGGAGGGAGGCCCAGAAATCGTTTTAAAGCCTCTCTGGTGATCTAACAAGTTGGGTTGAAAACCACTGCTGTAGAGCATTTGTGGCCATTTGGACTATTCTGGAACTGTCCTCTGCCTATAGGAATTTGTGTCCCTGATGTAGCTTTCATTAGCACAAAAGTGACACTGGGCCATTCTTTTGGTGACCCTGCTCTCTGGAGCTGACAAAACAAAGGGAGTCCCCAGGCACGCTGCTGGTGATGACAGTACTCAGGCCTGAGCCTGGGAAAGGTTCCCTGAGACCATCCAGAGCTGGACTCAGATGACTCTAGAATCCTATTCCACTAAAGCTGGCCAAATCCTGCACTGGTGGGTGGGCCTCAGTACATCTTCAGTCTGGCTTATCTGTATTCCTCTCCAAAAAGACTGGTAATGATATTTTGGGAGAGGATATTTCACTTGAAGGGAAAACACTAGCTCAATAAGCAAAATCTTTTTTGAAGACATGTCAACAATGGCTGCCTACGTCTACAGCATCAGCAACCAGGTACAAAGAGGGAACCTTCCGTCCTCCCTCCCTTCCTCCCTCCTTCCATTCTTTTCTTTCTTCTTCTTTTTAAGATAAGATCTTGCTCTATAGACAGGCTGTCCTGGAACTTGCAATCCACCTGCCTCAGTTTCCTAGTGCTGGGATTACAGGAATGTGAAGTTACACATGGCTTTCTTCCTTTCTTTCAAGAACAGACATAAAAGTCAGGAAAAGGAGGAGAGAGAAGGACCACTTTAAGAACTCTGTATGGTGCAGAATGCAAAGCTGAGACTCTGGGAGACGAGGAGAAGGAATGCAGGGCTGACCTGATGATGAAAGGGCCTCTGACTTCTAGGAGCTTCCGTTCACTGCTGAATCTCTGCAGAAGGTTGATCATGAACTTATAAAAGTAGGAGTTCATTGTGGGAGTGGAAGGAGAACATTCTAAGCCTTTGGTACCTGTAGAAAAAGAGACAGAGTTTATGTGTTCACAGGGTAATCAAAATCATAAAGAATACAAACAATTGTAAATGCCAAAAAGGGGTGTATGTGTGTGTGTGTGTGTGTGTGTGTGTGTGTGTGTATGTGTGTGTGTGTGTATCTGTGTGTAACAAGATAAGAGAAAATCTCCAATCAAGCAAGCGCCAGAGACTGACTAAAAGCAAGGACCACACAAGTATGTGTAAGCACATACAACTTTGCTTCTTGCAAAAATGCACATTTGCTTGTCCACTCTTCCATCCAACCCCAAGCTACATAGTGAACTTCTCATGTGTAAGGCCTCATAAGATGCTATTTTCATTTTTAGAAAATAAACTTCTATTTATTACCCCAATAAATTAGATACTTTAACCCAGTTAAGGACAATGGCAAGTCAAAGAGAAGAGCAGTAAGACAGGTACACTCTCTCTGTAACAAAACCAGCAAGGTTTTGTTGAAAGGCCAAGGACAAACTCCTTTCCCAGTGTTACTTGAAAAAAATAAGTCGTAGACACACTTACTATGTTAAAGACAGCAAAATGGACTAAACAGTGCAAAGTGTTTAAATCATCAACTAACATTTGGAAATCAAACATTCTTCTCCCTTATCTTCAGGCAAAGATTCTCTTTTAGGGTGGCATTCTGAATACCTGCAAAGTTCCAAGTTGGGTTTATAGCCAGAAGCACAAACAATGTTGCTCTTTGATATGTGTCCCAGCTGCAAACACGCTGAGGGCCAGACTCTGTCACCCCTTCGGCCTGATCTGCATACATACCCCCAGTGAAGCTTCAGTGCTGGGGGGACTGGGGTTGACAGGATGTTTGGATGATCCTGGCATGGTGTACTCACACACCTCATAGGGTCCCTCTTTCTTTCTAATGCACATTGACCCCAACAGCAATGCTGGAAAGAGGCAAGAAGGACGGTGGGAATTCTCACTCAGTTTGCCCAATGCACTAACTGACAATCTCTGTTAAAATAACAGATTATTAAAATTTAACTCATGCATTTCAAGTTTGTCCAGCATAAAACTAAAAGGTTTTCTGAATATTCACAAAGTTGCTCAGCAATCAACACTACTTCCAGAACATATTTTATTATCCCCTACAGAAACCCTTATACCCAATAGCAGTCACTTCCCTGCTATTCTTCTCTTCTCTAAGCCCTAAAAAACCCACTAATCTGCTTTCTGCCTCCAAGGACTTGCTATTTGGACATCTCACGTGTATAAGTGGAACCCTACGGTATGGGGCTTCCTTTTCTTTTTTGGCAGTACTGAAGTTTGAATTCAGGGGTTCATGCCTGTTAGGCAGGTGCTCAACTATTTTAGCCCTGCTCCCATTCCTTTTTTATGTTACTTCTCAGGTACAGCATCATGTTCACATATGGGGTTGGCCTTAGACATCGATCTTCCTACCTACACCTCCCGTGTAGCTGGGATGAGAGGCATGTGTCTAGCTTACTAATTGAGATGAGGTCTCACTAACTTTTTGCCTTAGGCTGGCCTTAAATCATAATCCTCCTCATTTCTATCTCCAAACTGGTTGGGATTATAGGTATGAGCCACTGTGCCTTGCCAATGTGGCTTCTTTTATGCAGCATATCCTCAAGGTTCAACCTTGTAGTATGTATCAGTTCTTTATTTTTATAGCTGAATAGTATTACGTTGTATGGATAAGCCAAATTTTATTTCTCTGTTCATCAGTTAGTGGACATTTGATTGTTTCCACTTCTGGTCCATTACAAAAGGAGTAACGAACATTCATTTACAGGTCTTTGTGTGGGCATGTTTTCATCTCTCTTGGATATATACCTAGAAATGAAATTGATGGGTCATATGGAAACTGACTTTTAAGGAATTGCCAGACCATTTTCCATAGTGGCTGCACCATTTTATATCCCCACTGGCAATATAGGAGGGTTCCAATTTCTCCACATCCTCGCCAATACTTGTTATTTATCTATCTTTTTGATTATAGCCATCAAGTAGCTGGGAAGTGGCATCTCATTGTGGTTTTGATTTGCATTTCTCTAATGACTGATGATGTTGGTGTGTTTAAAGGCCACGTACATGTATATATCTTCTCTGGAGACATCTCTACTCAATTCTTTTGCTCATTTTTAACTTGAGTTGTCTTTTTACTGTTGACTTATAAGATTTCTTCATATAGGATACAAGTCTCTTATCAAGTGTGTGATTTACAAATATTTTCTCCCATTCTGTGGGTTGTTTCTGCACTTTCTCCCCACCCCCTCCCTTTTCATGGTGCTGAGGATCAAACTCAGGGCCTGTGTGTGCTAGGCAAGCACTGTACTACTAAGCTACATCCTTAGCCCGTCTCACCTTTGAAACAAGTATTATTATTACTTGCAGTGTTATAGGGCCTAGTACATGGTAGGCAAGTACTCCATCACTGAGCTATGCCTCCAGTCCCATAATCCTTTTTTTTTTTCCCCAGCACTAGGGATTGAAATCAGGGCCTCACACTTGCCTACTACTTGAGCCACACCCAGACCTTTACCTTTTTTTTTTTTTTGGCAGCACTGGGGTTTGAATTCAGAGCCTCATGAAGTTTCTACCACTTGAACCATACCACCAGCTCTTTTTGCCTTGGTTATTTTTGATATGATCCTGGCATTTTTGCTCAGGCTTGCCTGGAACATGATCCTCCTACTTATGCTTTTAGCACAGCTAGAATGACAGGCACACACCACTATGCCCAGCTTTTTTCCATTGAGATGGGGTCTTGCTAACTTTTTGGCCTTGAACTGTGATCTTCCTGATCAGTTTCTGCCTTCCAAGTACCTGGGATTGCAAGCATACGCCACCACACTCAGCTTCAATTTGCTTTTTCAGATAGGGTCTTGTACTGTTTCACAGGCTGACCTCAGACTGGGATTCTCTTACCTCCACCTCCTGAGTAGCTGGGATTACAGATGCGCACCACTATACTTGGCTACGAAATTCCAAATTTTGATTATGTCCAACATACCATTTTTTCTTTGCCTGCTCATTCTTTTGGGATAGTGCAGGATGCAGAGTGCCCAACTGAGACACATAGGGCCATCAGTTTCTGAACTCTGTTTGGCCCAGGAGTCCTATGGCAGTCACAGTGCTCTCTCTGCACCAGGGAAGGGGCAACCAAGCTTGATTGTAAGAGGGCATATGAGCTCTCAGAAGCATTGGCCCAATGTATGAAAGAAGAATGTGTTGAACTATGCCAAGCATTATGAGCAAGTCTAATAGAGGAGCCTTTAGGACCTATTAGATGCTGGTGGTCAGAGAGCAGCAGTGAAATGCTTCTCCCAAGAATTTTGTCTTTTGGGTTGCTCTTAGACCTGCCTTGTGTTTTCTTGTGGCCCTTATATGGATTGGCTGTGAACTAGAGAAGGTGTTCTATCAGCTGTGGATTATTCTATGAGGATTCCTTACCTCCAAACCCTGCCATCCTCTATCTTGAGGTCCTCCTAGACAGAGTCCTGGTGAACCGTGTTGGGGCAAGCTATGTGTGATGACTTGCAGTTCAAGGGCAAGCCTCATTTGCTTCCTGCTGTTTGAATTGCATTATTCTGGGTCCTTGCCCAGGACAGCCAGGCTGGGGAGGTTCTGAGTGACTCTGGAATGGCAAACAGTCTCTGCTCCTTAGCCCAGAGGTGCTGTCTACAGAATCAAGTGTCACATTCTTACAGATCGAGTTACCCCAGGTTCAGCTGGGGCTGATCTCAAAAGAGGTAGCTGCAGATACAGCTGTTGAGGCAGCCCTACCTCTCTATCCTCATCCTTAGGAGATAAATTCAGTGGTGGCCTGCCTCAGTTTCCTTATCTGTAAGTGGGCAGGAAGAACCTCCATTAAATGAGACAAAGCATACAACATACTGGGCCTGGCCTGCCACATAGTCTGTGCTCAATAAACAGGGGTGTTTTTATTAGCAAATGTCTCATATCCCAGAGTACTGCACGGGGAAGACTGCTCCCAAGCTGGCGATCCACAGACATTCACGATTCATTCTGAATGAATGTCTGGGAACTGGGTACTAGTCTGGAAGTGTCTGAGTGGGGAGACCTCAGGTCTGGGACAGATTCACAGTGCTCTGTTGGGATGTTGTAAGGAGGAAGAAAGGGTGTCAACTGTGACCCCCCTCACCAGCCTCACATCCAGAGAGGGATTTTCCTTTGTCCCTTCACCTGATCAACTAGTCAAAGATGGCAGGAAAGGTCTGGGGCTGCTCTGGACACAACTATGGTCTCTTCAGCCATAGCTCCCATTTGGGCCAAAAATGGACTTTCAGTGTCCAGGCTGCAGTGTGGCCCTTAGTGGAAGGAGGAAGGGGCATGGAAAGAAGCCCTGTCAAGTGATTCACGTTCTCACATCATCTAGGAAAGCTTCAATTTTTGCAGCTCCCACTGTCTACAAAGGCCAAAAATAACAAGAGGCCAGGCACTTGGGCCACATGCTTTTCCTGAGACTTGGATGACAAAAGGCTGAGGCATGGTGGGAGCATTGTGGGAGCCACCCAGAACCTGGTTTGCACCAAGGGCAGTCACCAGGGACAAGACTTCTGTCTCTAGGCTCCACCTGCTAGAAAGACCACTGACTCGAAAGAAACTGCCTCAGGACAGGGCTGGGAGTCCTTTTCCAGCAGGGAAGGCAGGGGTGGGGGGTCTGGACAAAGAGGGGAGCTGTCTCAATGCTCACTAGGAACAGGGTGAGGGCCTGTGAGCACTCTCTCCTCCTTAGTTTTCCCCTTTGCTCAGCTCGTCTATGACCTCAGCAGCCGTCAGTCCTTTCTGGCTTGAGACAGAACCTGAGAAAGGAGGTTCTCAGCCAGAGCTGCAGTTTGAGAGGAGGAGATGAGGTGAAGACAGAACAATCTTGCCCCATGAGTGTTACTACGGGGACAATGGACCTCTCCACTGCACTGATTTCCGCCTCACTGCAGCCTGCTCCTCCTAGGGGACAGCTTAAGCGCCTCCACC